AGCCCCAAACCAACTCCCCCGAGCCCCTCTGGTCCTATCCCAGGCACATGTGTGACCAAAGGACGGTGAGGAAGGGGAAATTCACCCCAAAATGCACGCTGGGGGCTGGAGCAGGGCAAGAACCCTTTGAAAGGCTGAGTGTACCCCTGAGTGGGGGGACCCTGTGCCCCCCCAGCGTCCCTTAGTCGGAGGGACCCGCCCGTGCCCCCGCTGGCAGCAGGTTTGGGAAGGGGCAGCGCCTCTCCCAGCAGTGCAGCTGAGGGGGTTCCTCCCGCCCACCTGAGCCCCCGGGGCAGCACCCACCTCGTCCGGGGTGTCCTTGGCGTCGGGCTGGCCGGGGGCTCCGCGCCGCGCCAGGTTCCCGGCACGGATGTTGCTGAGGTTGATCTGGCGCTCGGGGGGGGGCCCCCCCCGGGGCTGCCCCCGCACGATGATGGCACAGCCCGACAGCACCTGTGGGGGACAAGGAGGGGTCACGGCGGGGCCCCCAACCCGGTGGGGGCAGCCAGAGAGGGGGCCGGGGCTGAGCACACAGGGAGGTAGTGCTGCACAGACAGACAGAATTCCAGAGATCCACCCCAGGAACTTGGCACCGCCGGTGTCTCAAGGCCTGGAAAAATCAGGAGTTGTCGCACGTTTCCTGTTTGGAGCTGCAGGATGGAGCCAAGGTCCGTGTCCTGGGGCTCATCCCCAGCAGGAGAGAAGGGATTCTGCCCCTCTCAGGTGAGACCGCGCCTGCAGAGCTGCCTCCAGCTCTGGGGGCCCCAAGATAAGGACGTGGAGCTGCTGGAGAGAGTCCAGAGGAGGCCCCGGAGCTGTTCCCAGGGCTGGATCCCTCTGCTCTGGAGCCAGGCTGGGACAGCTGGGGGGGTTCACCTGGAGAAGAGAAGGATCCAGGGAGACCTGAGAGCCCCTTGCAGGGCCTGAAGGGGCTCCAGGAGAGCTGGAGAGGGACTGGGGACAAGGGATGGAGGGACAGGACACAAGGAATGGCTTCCCAGTGCCAGAGAGCAGGGCTAGATGGGATGTTGGGAAGGAATTCCTGGCTGGGAAGGTGGGCAGGCCCTGGTCCAGGTTGTCCAGAGAAGCTGTGGCTGCCCCTGGATCCCTGGAAGTGTCCAAGGCCAGGTTTGGTCCCATTCCCTCCTTTGCAGCACAACCACACACAGGGTGCTCTCAGTGCACAAATCACACCAAAAACTTGGACAATCGGGATTTCACTCCCGGTTCTGCCCTGCCGGACAAGCCCAGCTGGGCCATCCCATCCCACCTTCCAGGTTTCCTTCCGTCTCCGTCCCCACACAGACTCCAAGCTCCCAGTGTGCCAGGATCTCCCTGTTCCCGCCGGGATCAGTGCTGGCTCCCGGCACACGGGATTGACGCTGCCTGGATCCAACCCCTGGGTTGGGTTTCAGTGTGTGCCCTGCCCTGCTGCCACCCGAGATCCCCACAGACACTCGTGGTGCATCCCAAAGCCCTCTGGCTCTGTCCCTGTCACCGGAGCCAGCCCGGCCCCGTGCCAGGGACACCGGTTCGAGCTGAATC